TTGAGACAGAGTCTCCCTCCGTCACCCAGGCTGTAGTGGTACCATCTCGGCCCAAGTAACCTCTGCCTCCCAGGTTCGAGCAATTCTCATGCCTAAGCCTCCCCAGTAGCTGGGATTACAGGCACATGTCCTCACACCTGGCTAATTTTTATATTTTTAGTAGAGAGAGCGTTTTGCCACATTGGCCAGGCTGTCTTGAACTGGTCTCAAGCAATCCACCCACCTGGCCCTCCCAAAGTGCTGAGATTACAGGCATGAGCCACCACACCCGGCCATATTTTCTTTATTAGGTCGAACTGATGAGGCAAAAGGCATTCTCCCTGCCCCCCGGTAAAGGTCACTCTTGACTTCTTTTCACTACTAACATAAATAACCTCTAGTGATGACGTTTAATACTTGAGACTGGGTAAAAAAAGTTCGATATTACTCTTCTATCCAGCAGAACTTCAGTTTCTCAGACTTTCCTGCTACTTAGAAAAATCTCTGCCCTCAGCAGCCTCCCAGGACAGCCCAGCCATGTCTACCACCAGCACCACCCGAGCCTCTGACACCTGGCTCAGATGGGGCTGGAATAATTCTCACCATGGTCATGTAGGCGGACTCTGAGTTTTCACTTGGTTTTTCTTCCTCAGTCACCTCCCGTGTAGTTATTGAGGAGTAAATATGTTTCTAGAGGGGGAAAATGGTACAAAAATTCCTAAAAATTAGATGACTCTTACACACCAGAGTAAAGGCCGCCCAATCCTATTTGCTGGGGATTGACTACCCAAATTGGTAGGTTCAAAGGGTTACTGAGAGCTAGAGAATACTCAAAAATGTTAATTCAGTCTTCAGTCTTCTTGAAAATTAACTGCCAACGAACACAGTCTTAGGAATCAAACTCTGCCTCAAAAGCCAAACATCTTTGTTTAGATGGATGTTTAGGTAACAGCAGGAGTTCCTTATCTTGCTAAACTCCTTGTATTCTGTGGTTATTTCCTTCTAATTACAATAAAGGCAGAATGGCATTAATCAGCAGTGAATTGTCATCATCTCCCTCAGAGGGTTTATGTGGCAGGGCCAGCCGTCATTGAGCCTCACAACTTCGAGGTTCATGGTCCTGCTACTCATTGGGAATGCAGTTTCATCACCAGTGACCCATTCTTGGACTTCTGGAGGCCCCTGCACTCTATCGGGAGAAAATCCTACTCTCGGGACAAAAACAGCCCAAAATAGAGAAAGGTAACTATTCAAAGAGTTTCTTAAAAATTAAAGAAAAAAAAAGAAAGGAGAACAGGAGTTAAAGAAAACCCATCCATTTCTCAGTCTCTAGAAGCAATTATTTATAACTCCATTACAAATCAATGTGGAGAGAAAAGTCCTTCTTAATCCTTTCTTGCCAAAGGTCTTAGACGATTTCATGTTAAGCATTAAAACTCCTTGACTCCTGAATGTATTATAATTCTCCATTAGACTTTAGACAAATAGCACCTCCTAGATTACAAAGCATTTGCATATCATCATCTTATGTGAGCCTTACACCAACCCTGTCAAGCAGGCTGGGCAACTATAATATCTTTATCCTTATCCTCATTTTGCTGATGAGACTAGGGGGGATGGCAGAGATTTCTGACTCCAAGCGCAGTGCTTTCCTCAGCCCAATACCAGGATCTGCTGCCCGGGGCTGACCCAGCCCACCCCCACCGCACCCCCCACGCACTCTAGTCTTCAGAGGCTCAGATTCTAATGACAAAGGCTTCCTGAGTCCCTGCTCTGTGCCAGGCACTGGCCTGCGAGCTGCAACATACAGTGGGTAAGACACGGTTCCCAGGGAATGTTAACCGCCCAGGCCTGCATCTACACTTTTATGCTGAAGTGTGTGCTCACCTCCCCTTCATAGCGGGCAAAATAGCGGGGTTCTTCTTTCATCTCTGGATTAGTCTTCTTTGTGTTCTTCACCAAGACTGTAGAATTCACTGAACTGCAGGGCATGAAAAGCATGTGGAATTAACCAGCTGGTATGGTTTATCCAAGGGTCCCTGTAGGAGACCCCAATTGGCTTTGTGAAGAGAGAGACCCCAGAGAAGAAACTATTCTCTCTGGACTCCTACAGTCAGGGCTACACGGCTCACCTGGAAACCTGAGAAGTGCATTTCGGTTTTTTTTGGTTTTGTTTCTGTTTTTTGTAAGACGGAGTCTCGCTCTGTAGCCAGTAGCCAAGCTGGATCTCAGCTCACTGCGACCTCCGCCTCCAGGGTTCAAGCTATTCTTGTGCCTCAGCCTCCCTAGTAGCTGGGATTACAGGCACGTGCCACCACACTAAGCTAATTTTTGTAGTTTTAGTAGATCATGTTGTGCAGGATGGTCTCTGTCTCCTGACCTCGTGATCTGCCCGCCTCGGCCTCCCAAACTGCTGGGATTACAGGCGTGAGCCACCAGGCCCGGCCAGCGCATCTCTTCTAATGAAGAACAAGAAGCCATTCTGGAGGTAATTTAGGCTGAAAAACAGCTTCGACTTCTCTATTATCACCCAAACCACTTTCTGCCCTATGGGAGATGTAATTTTAAGTGAATGAAGAGAGAGGGGCCATGGGATTCCACCTGACCATCCCCTCTGCATTTCTGAGGACCAGGGAGTGCAGTGGAACCAGCAGGGGGCAGCAGGAGCTCAGCAAGACGCCTGTCCGAAGGGCTCCTGGCCTCCCAGGGGGCGGAGCCCACCCCACCCAAGCCCGGAGCCGGGAGCTCTGAGCCTGTCCTGTCGGGGGCCCCTTGGCCTTTGATCTTATGACCATTTGCTTTCTGAATATACTTTCTTTTTTCTATTTTGGCCTAAGGCAGAACTGAAAAAAAAAATATATATATATATATATATATATATATATATATATATATATATATATCTCAAGGTTTAAGCTATAAAATAAACCATATTTTTTGGTCTCAGTGGAAATATTTTAATTGAATCTTCTGATTTTAAAGTTGTATCTTCTCATTGTAAAATAATTTAGATAATACAGAAACGTAGACAGTTGGAAGCAGAAGTTCCCTGCCACCCCTCACCCCATGGGATCCACCTTCTCCTTCATCTCAAATACCACACCTTAACTCCTGAAAACTCCTTAAGTCCTTAAAAGGATAGATTTTACAACTATCCTTCCAAGCCTCTCTCAGTGTAAGCATAAGCTCACATAAAATGTATTTACTACATATGCTGCTGGAGTGAGCGTCATATTATTTTCTCCTTTATAAAAATGAGATCATACTATAAATTCTATATTATTACCCCTTGGATATCTTTCCATGTCATTACGTAGAGGGGTCTGCAGTGTTTCACTGAGTGAAACGCCGGTTCCCTGAATCATTACCTTTCTGACAGACACTGGCAATGATCCCTACTGTTAATTATAAGCAAGACTGCAGTTTTTGCACCAGTCTCAGCATATCCATCTAATTATTTCTTTAGAATAAACAACTAGACACGGAAGTACTACCCTTCCTTTGGAGGGAAACTGAGGCCCAGACAGAGGAAGTAAGCTGACAGTGGAACCCAGGTTGTCTAGCTCAGTCCTATGAGCATGCCCAGAGCAAAGACCTTCAGAGAGGCAGCCAAGTTCAAAATCAAATCAGAAAGCCCTAGGGAGTGGAAGTGAAAGCCCAGCAGGCACAAATGTTCTTCTGTAGGATTCATGACCCACTGGGAAAGAACACTCAAAAGTCAGGATTATCCATAAGGCCCTTTCCCACTGACACTATTTTAATGAGTCAATCTGCACTACCAACATATTCCATTGATAGCCGAATAAACTGAGGGACATGGATCTGCACTAATATCCCTGTCGGAGCATCTGGGCACTTCTGAAACTCTGAAAGAACTACTGATGAAATTCAGGCCTTTAAAAGCCCATTTTAACAATAATTCACTTAGAACCTGAAGGCACCCACTCAAAAATCACATCTCATAATTAGAATGTGGTCCTTTAGATAAAACCACTGGCAACCCTCATGATCTTAGCTTCTATGCAGAACGTACAGTGTGGATAATTTAAAAATCATTTCTCTTAGGTAGTGAATGGTACCATGATAGTACTTGTGTAAGATTTATACTCTGAAAGGCCGGACGCGGTGGCTCAAGCCTGTAATCCCAGCACTTTGGGAGGCCGAGGCGGGTGGATCACGAGGTCAAGAGATCGAGACCATCCTGGTCAACATGGTGAAACCCCGTCTCTACTAAAAATACAAAAAATTAGCTGGGCATGGTGGCACATGCCTGTAATCCCAGCTACTCAGGAGGCTGAGGCAGGAGAATTGCCTGAACCCAGGAGGCGGAGGTTGCGGTGAGCCAAGATCGCGCCATTGCACTCCAGCCTGGGTAACATGAGTGAAACTCCGTCTCAAAAAAAAAAAAGATTTATACTCTGAATTATGCCCTACTGAGACCCCCATTTCTAAGGGAGTTTGTAGTCTTTACATAATACCAAAGTGAATGAGGATAGCATAGGAACATCCAAGTCTTTTCGGGGGCACAGTGAGCAAAGCGGGCAGGGTTACTATATGATGACATCTAATTTGACAACCACAGATGATTCCATTTAAAAATACCCCCTTCTGTGAGAATGGCATAGGTAGGGCCCTGTCACCCTCTTCCACTTTGGGGTAGAGGCAGCCCTGCACTTCTAGCCTCCCAACCCAAGCAATGGGGGCAGCCCTGTACCTCTTATTCCTACAGGTCCTTTTCACGATCAATAGCAGAACAGGGAGCAGCACGATTGTGGCGCAGACAATCCCCACGATGATCACCAGCTGATTACCACCCAGGACCACAGGCCTCAGGGCCGCCGGGGTCACCAGTGCTTGGGAAAGGAGAAAAACAAGGAGAGGGTCTCAGTACCTTAGCAAAGAGCTGAGAGCCCCACAGCCCTATGCCACACAGCACCAGCACCAGCCAGGCCAGGACGTGGAGGGGAAGACCAGACTCCACCCCATATCTGGACACTGCGGACGCTGTCTCCATGAGATTGAGAACCAAAGTCTAACCCCCTTGTTTACCCTAAAATGTAGATTAAGGTGGGTGGGAGAAGAGGCTAGCACTTCACCTGTAGTAAAGTTTCCTTTCAAAACTTGGCTTATCAAGTGACTGAGAAATAACAGGCATCTTAGAGGTTGCTGATCTTCCTAAGGGCAAGTAATTGCTTTCAAAAGAACGCATGCCGCAACACTCAGCCCCACTGTGACGATACCAAGTAAAGCCTTCGCAGGAACTTCTGCCCATACAGTACCTTCTACTCATCTGCTTGGTTCTAAATACAGAAAGCAAACGCCTCCTCAGTGCCAGACAGCACTAGGTACAGAGGATTCAGAGACAAATGATGTGTGGTCCCTCCTTCCAAGGAAGGAGACAAACACGTCAACAGAAAACCACACACTCCTCTAGGTGCTGCAAGAGACGTCTGCATGGGGAACAGAGGGGCCCAGAAAAAAGAGGACCCAATTCTATGTGCAGCAAATGAAAATTTGCCAGCAAAATTTCCAACATTTAACCCGAGACTTATAGAAAACGTCCAGTTTGTTGGGCAGACATACCCAACATGGGAAAGGACTCGTATTTTCTCTGTGAATTGGACTTCTGAGAATGAAGTGCACAGAGAGGTGATGGTTCTTTAAGAAACCCATCTGCCTGCTCCCCCATGCAGAGGGGATGTTCTGCATGAGGTCTGGAGGCCTGACAGAATGGTGGCTTTAGAAACTTGAGAGAGTTCAATGGGTCTGGCACAAAGGTGGCATCTGTGGGTGTGCTCGAGAGATGACAGGGTCCAAGGCAGGAAGGACCTTGACTATCTCAACCAAGAATCTGGCGTTTTTCTGCAGGTGATGGAAAAACCATTGAAAGATTATAAGCAGTGGAAGAGAAAGCTCTGAATGTGATTTAGAAAGATGCCACCAAGAGCCATATGAAGAATGAGGAGCAGTGGCTAAGAGTGAAAGCAGAGACTGGTTAGAGGCCTACAGTTCAACACAGAGATAAAGACAGCCAGAACTAAGCAGTGACAGACTGGAAGACAACTTTAGGAGTCTGAAGCAGAAGTCAAGGACTTGTTGACCTGTTAGATGAGGGGTCTGGGAAAGAGAAAGAATCAAGCACACCCCAGGCATCTAGTTAGACAACTGAGGTTGGGGAGATGGGCTGAGGAGGGTGTGTACGGGTAGGTTTAGACATGTTGCATTTGAAGGATTTGTGGGAAACTTGTGTAGGGTTGACTGTATATATCTGTGGGTGTGTGTGGGATTGTGTCCAACATAGAATGCATATGGAATATAGTGTCCAATGCTACTGAGGTTCAGAAGGCTGAGGATGGATAATGGGAGTGCCATTGGTGATCTAAGCTAGAGTAGAGGTAAAAGAAGCCAGAATGCAGTGCACTGAGGAGTTAATGGGAGATGAGACAGTGAGACACCAAACACAGGCCTTTAGCAATGATTTGGCTATGTTGAGAAAGAAATACATGATTGTGGTGGTGGTTATACAGCTCTGAATGTATTAAAACCATTGAGCTGAATGCTTTAAGTGGGCAAATTGTATAGTATGTGACTTGTGTCTCAGGAAAGCAGTCTTTAGAAAAAGGAAGACATAGAATGGAGCTGAAGTAGGTAAGTGGTAGACTTGGGCCAATGTTCCGGTGAATGGTCAAAACCAACAGAAAGTGAGAGCTCAAACAGCCATGCTGTAAGGCTCCTGAGACGGAGGCCACCTGGGCACAGGGGGCCACAAAAGCCCAGAGCAGAAGGGACTCTCCTCTGCCTCCAGATTTCAGGGCAGAAATAAGAATGGAGACAGATATGTTTGTGGGTGGAGAAGCTGCCTGAGGCCCCGTAATGGCTCATATTTTCTCTGTGAATTGGACTTCTGAGAATGAAGCGCACAGAGAGATGATGGTTCTTTAAGAAACCCACCTGCCCTGCCCCCCTCTCCAGCTGGAGACAAGGTGCCTCCACAGACTTAAGTCTCAGGCCTGAGGTATGAGGTATGTTCCATCCTCACCCATCTTCCTCACCCATCTTCCCCACCCCCAACCAACCACAGCCAACTCCTGAAGGCCCCAGCGAGAGGCAAAGTCCACAGGCCACATCCTGACTGCTAACGGGTTATGGTTTAACTTTAACCCCTCACTTGTCAACCTCTCTCTGTCAACACAATCAAGTCTTTCCTCTCCTACACGCCTCTGGCCTTGATGCACACTGTTTGCCAGAATCCAGAACCTCTGATCAGAAAACCCCTCCATTTTTAGTTCTGGTGCCTTCCTGTTTCTCTCTGTTCCTGGCTGTCTCTCACTAGCTCAAGGTCATTTCCTGCTCCACTATAGAGCATTCCGCACTTGCTTTCCCATGCAGCCAAGTATGCTGACTTTGGACATCAACTCCGATCCTTTCCTGAGCTCCTGTACCTTTACATCAGTAAATGACCCTGGCAATGAGGGGGGTCTGGCAAAGGGTTGGTATTCACTACATTAGCTCCCCTCTCCTTGACCTAGAAGCAGGGCCAGAACTAGGGTGAGGCAAGTCAGGTACCTGAGGAACCACCCCTAAGGAGGCATCATTCTCAGGGTTGTGCAAGGCCAGAGTCAGCACCTGAGAGGGGTGCCTCCTTCAATCTGCATCCCAGGAGCCTCTCCGGCCTCACTCTAGTCCTGGCCCCATGCACCAGCCAGGAGGTCTCTCAGCGCTCCCCAGCCAAATGTTAGATACTTCGAGGTTGTTCCGGGTCCACATGCAGCACAATGGTTTTCTTGAACACCAGGTCCCCTATGTAGATACTGCAGGTGTAGATTCCTCCATCAGACTCCCTCACTCCTTGAAGCACGATGGAACCATCATTGTGGAAAACATCTCCGACCAGTTCCACACGATTCTGGAAGTGGCCCCAGCTCTGGGAGTACTGTCTAGTCATCCCGAGTTTGTGGGAGTAGCGTAACACAATCTCCTCCTAGAGGGGAAAGGGAAAAAGTATGAGCTTGTGAGGACTGAAGGGGAGGAGGGAGGAGGGAAGATGGGGGAGGGAAGATCTCAGGACTCCCAAGGCCCTGCTAGGTGAAGGCAGTAAGGGTATTATCAGAAAGCATTAAATAACACAGAGTCATGTATACACACATGTGCAGGTGTGTGTACTTGTGAAGGACATCACCAAACCATGAACAGTTTTTCCATCTGAACAGAGGGATGCGAAAAGGAGGACTTTCATTTGTGTACTTTTTCAATAAGAAAAGCAGTATAACTTTATTCTTGATGACACTTCTCGTTGGATTTCCAACAGGAGCCTGAAACTCATCTAAAACTGAACTCGTCATTTTCCCCCCAAATCAGTTCTTCCCAGTCTACCCCATTTCGGTACATGGCAATGCCTTCTGCCAGATACTCAGGCTAAAAATCTTGGAGTCATTCTTAATTCCTCTCTTTCTGGAACAACTCACATCTAATACCTCAGCAAATCCTACCACCTCTGCCTTCAAAATATATTCCCAATGCAGCCAGTCCCACCTCCTCCACTGAGGCCATTCCGGTCCAGCCCATCTCTCACCTGGATTCCTGCAACAGCTTTCTTACTTGTCTCCCTCCTTATTCTCTACGACAATCTATTTTCAGCAGATGAGCCTTTAAAAATGTAAGTTAACTCATGTTACTCCTGTGCTCAAAACCCTTCATGGCCCCGTTCTCATTTCTACTAAAATGTAAGGCCCTGCATGACCCAGCCCATCTCCTTTTCCTCTCTGACTTCAATTCTAGTTGCTCTTCCCTCACCTACTTGGGTAACTTCACTCAAGCTACATGGAGCTCTCGGCTGCTCCTTGCATACTGACCTCAGGGCCTTTGCACTTGCTACTGTCTATGACTGCAAGAACACTCTTCCCCGCCAGACATATGCAGGGTTCACTTCCTCACTTCCTTCACACCTCTACGTAAGTGTCATCTCAGTGAGGCCTCCCCAAGCACACATATAATAAAAACCACAAAACCATGTCTTATTCTTCCCTATAGGCTCTCACTATTGCCTGATATATTACATGCTGCTTTATTATTTTACTGTGATCCCCTCCACCTTGGTTGTCAGTTTCCCATCAGGACAGGGAAACTGAGTATTCATCATACAGCAAATGCTTTAAAAATAACTTGTTAAATGAATGTTGGCATTAAAAAAAAAAAAAAAGACATGTAGATTGCTTTTTTGTAGCTTTTAAGAAAAGGTAATGAGTGTGTAGACACAAACATGAAAGAAGTGACCTGGCCCCCAACATTTTGTCTCTCGTGATTCAAATTCACAACCTTAAAATGTCGACTCTCATCCTATTTTCTCCTGTGAATTACTCACTGGATGACATTTACATGCACGACAAGCTCTCAGAAGTGAACCTGGGACCACATGTAGTTCCCCATACTCCACCATGATGTCACCCACTGTGACCTACTCAGATACCACAGGGGAATCAAGTGAGTGCAAATGACTTTGTTAGAGAGATGACCTGGGATATGTTTTAATTTATAAAAGTTAGTCTTTAATAAATTTTGCACCTTAACTTTTATTAGTAACAAGTTACTTGGGATATCCCCATGACACATGTTAAGCCATAAATATATGACCACATCATGGTTGAGATCTACTGGTCTAATGAATGAACTTGCTGTTTAGTGCTTTATAGAGTTCCCATGAAATACCCCTCACCCTGGCCCCTAGGATCGATCAATTCCAACACTCGAAGTACCGATCAAAAGTCCCTCCATCACATAAATGGGCAAGGAAGCACAGATGAAAACTCACAAAACTAACCCCAGTAAGAATAAGAGTGTAATCACTTTTATGCCTAGCCCATTGCTTCCCTTGCTGGGCCACAAAAGTCATCTCCCTCATTCTCCCATGACCTCTATAAAAAGGAAAATGGAGAAAGAAGAAAATGAAAATGCAGTGGCCAAGTCATGTACAAAATGCTTTACATGTACAATCTCATATCGGCATCTAAAAGTTAAGCATCATCATCAACAACTTCCTCCTCTTTCTCCTTCTCCTTCTCCTTCTTCTTCATTGGAGTTATCTTTCCCACCAGAAAGCTGAAATTGCTAGGAGAAGGTCCAGTTCTGACAAGCCCCAAACCCTAGGCTCTTGCAACACCTTCTCACATGTCTGAGTCTACGTCTGTCCTAACACCATCAGCCAGAGCCTTCTATAACACAGGTGATATTTCCTCCATGTTACCTTGGCATGCTGTCCTGAAAACATCCATTCTACCTTGGTCATGTGTTTTTCTTCTGTGCTCTGGAAAACACATCTCATCTTAGTCAATTCACCCACACGGACCATGAACTCTGAGGATAAAACAGTACATCAAGTCAGACACAAGTTATAATCTATAGAAATCAAAGAATTTCTAGAAAAGATCATGTTTAGCCAAAGACCCTCAAGCAGCAAAAATCACTGTCACCACCAAACACTGTACATATTCCCTCTGTAGGTGATCCAGATGATTCCACTTAGGCAAAGTACTCAGAGACCCCTCCCTCAGACCAGCCAGCATCGACCCCAAATTGAGAATACCTTCTAACTATCCACATGTACCAAGCTCGAGGGTTTCTGCTGTCTCCTTATTTCAATAAACACTTTCTGGTCCTCTTTAATTCCTTTCTCTTTCCCCTTTTCCAGAATTCCTTCCATGAACTCTAATTCAACATCAAGTTTGTACTAAAGGAAGTATGGAAAATCTCAAAGCCCCCACTTTGTGCTCATCATCTTAGACACCAGCATCTGCTTAGCATAAACAGGAAGTGGAAAGTTATAGAGCTCTCATTCTTATATTTAACCCACTGGCTCTACCAAAAATGAACCATGGATAACTTTCTTCAACTTCTTCTATTATTTTTCTTTTATTCTAGGACTTAGTTCTGGCCTCAGTACAAGTCACAGGACTCCTTGCTAATTAGGTCAAGACAAAAGAGCTTTCTCCTTGACTTTTCTTTCTGTTTCAATCCCGCTCTCTCCTGCTCCTACCCTCCCCACTTGACCCCCTTCCTCTGCTTCTGGCTTTCCAACTCCTAGGCTGTTCCTTCTGCCTATTGTACAAGCAGCTGACCCACCATATGTTTATTACGTAAGTCATTTTAAGAGGCCTATGAAAAAGAAAAGAAGTGGACAGACGTTTCTGATTTTTCTGTAATGCTGTATACAAATCAACCACAAAGTTGATTAAGCCATGAAAGGCAGGGTGGTATATTAAGAAGACACGAGCCTAGGTCTTAAGTGCACAGAGTGCCTTCAAAAGAGTGTTAAGCAAAGCTCATGAGGGAACAGAGTGCATAAGCCAAACTTTCATCCAAATTGTTTCCCTGGGAGAACAGTAACTTCCTGCCCAGCAGGAGAAATGCACAATAGGAGGAAAGAAAAAGAAAATATTATGAACTCTAAACTCTATGGAAGGAATTATTTTGAAAGCGATAAAAAATTTACTCCAAAGAATACCAGTAAGGAAGGAAACTCCCTTTAAATCTACAAGCACAGTGAGAACTAAACTCTATTTTTCAAATGCAATAATAACAAATGAACATTCTGAGTCCTTTCAATGCACCAGCCATGTGCTAGACACCCTTTATACGGCAGACCAGTTAGTCATTACAATATTTTGAGGTTTGCATGATGACTCTCCCATTTTACAGAGAAGGAAAGTAAAGGAGCCCAATACCACATGGCCAGTAAAAGGTAGAGCCAACATTTAAGCCCAGGCCTAAGTGAAAGCAAAGCCTGAGTTTTCTCACTCACTCTACTATGGTACCCCACGTAAGCAGAAGGATGGCTGATTCTAAAGCAAAAGTACAAGACATTAATGTTATTACTATTTTTTATCTATACTATTTAAATTAAGAACAATGAAAAAAGAATTGAAGTGGTAAAATCACAGAGAGATTGTCGACTGAAGGGTAAACTTGGTAGAAAAAGTTATAGATGACTGCAAAAAATGGAGTTTCCACGTCGATGGAGGCAACTTACATACAGCAAGTTGGAGCACCTTTCACTAGGCAAAATTGTTAGGGGTTAGATCTATTCCCATTCTGGCTGGAAGAAAAAAAAATATTTCCCTAGTGGCTTGCTCCACTAGCCACTGGGGAAATATCTGACTACCTCTAACATTGCCTTAGCCTATTTCCATGGATTCCTCAGCTCTTGAAATTGACTCCTTGTGGTTCCCTCTGTGTCTCTTCTAAGCAGAAAAAGGCCAGTATGGACAAGTGTTCAGGTACGGCATTAGAGACCAAAGGCAGAAAAAGGAAGCAAAAAGAGAATCCTTTGCAATCCTAGCAATTTTGGGAGGCTGAGACAGGAGGATCACTTGCATCTAGGAGTTTGAGACTGGCCTGGGCAACGTAGGAAGACCCCGTCTCTACTTAAAAAAACAAACACACAAAAAAGAAGCTGGGCGTGGTGATGCACACTTGTGGACCTAGCTACTCAAGAGGTTGAGGCAGGAGAATCACTTGAGCTCAGGAGTTCAAGGCTACAGTAAGCCATGATCGCACCACTGTACTCCAGAGCCTGGGTGACAGAGCAAGACTCTACCTTAAAAAAAGAGAGAGAGGGAGAGAGAATCCTTTGGCACAGGCATCTGATTTGCATCTTCTTCCTGGAGAACTAGAGCTTTGAAATTAAGAGGAAAATGGCAATGAAAAAAAGTAGGATAATTAGGAGAGGGGCCAGAGGCTACCTCCTACAACTGCATTTTTTAGAAATCAGATTCAAGCAAGGGATGCTAACTCTGTAACTGTATTCATCCCACAAATGTTTATTAATTGCTTACTCTGTGCCAGGGGCTGTGCCAGGCAAGCAGGGAAGACACAAGTGAATGGGTATGACGAGTGTCATAAGAGAGGAAAGCAGGGCGCACCGGAGGAGCTCATTAATAAAGCTGGATGCTAAGGACCTAAGCTGGCTGCAGGCAGGAAATGGCCCCAGATTCTAGTTCCCTAACTACATTGCAAGCTTTTCTGGGGTCACAGACTGTTCTTTCTCTTCCGCTCTCTCAAAGAAAGCTTCTAGTTCTGTGGCTTGCAAACCTTTACTTCCATTTACATATTCTTATTTGTAAGTGTTTATATCAATAAGCAAAACTAAATTTTAGAGACACTGACTAATGTGAGTTTGAATATCATTAATTATAAAAGACAGACAGGGAAATCTTTTACATGATGAAAGATTTCAGAACTCCAGTGGAATGAGTAGCTTCACATGAGGCCCTTTCCGTAGTGATTTATTTCGGTCTATATACTTTCCAAGAATGCCACCATCTCTAAATAAGAAATGATACCTGTCATCCAGAACTACTTTGGTGCCTCCATATTCTAGATTCTGGGGGAAGAATTTTATCTCCAGCTTTCAGGCTAACTGGTTGAATCTCTCCACCTTTTCCCTTAGAGCCGAATACAACAGCTTCTCCAGTTGCTTGCAATGCTGTTGAGATTTTTCTGGAAGCATAATGCCTCCTTTGGTTACAGTCTCAGCTGCATTTCTTTCAACTAATACCCAGTCAAAGCGGAAAAAAAAAACTTTCCAAATGACTCGGGCCACCACAGCTTATGCTGTCTCTTTCAAACTGCTTGCAAGCACAAGACTTCTTATTCACATCAAATCTTACCTGGCAGCACAATGAATATAGCAGAAAAAAGGAAAAGGACTTTGGCTGTGATACAGGCGGGAGCCTGGGGTCTTATCTGAGCAGGCATGTCTGCTACCAACCCCCTGCCCTGCTCTTACCCTTCATGTTCTTTGCAGCTTAAGGTTCTACAGAGCACAAATTTTAAAACCACCCATCTACTGAAGCCATTCCCTCCACTTACAAATGGGAAAATAAAGTGTAAAGAAGGGTTAGAAAGATCTGCTCCTTTTTTTCTCTTTTTTTTTATGCCTTTTTTCAGAGACGCCCTGCCCAGCGCTCCTTTTTCTCTTTCTTTCCCTTTCTTTCTCTCTCTTTCTTTCTCTCTTTCTCTCTTTCTTTCTTGAGACAGGGTCTTGGCTGTGTCACCCAGGCTGCAGTGCAGTGGTGTGATCAGAGCTCACGGCAGCCTCCACCTCCTGGGCTCAAGTGATCCTCTCACCTCAGTCTCCCCGGTACCTGAGACCACAGTTGTGTGCCATCATGCCCAGCTCTTTTGTTTGTTTGTTTGTTGTGTAGACACAGGATCTTGCCATGTTGCCCAAGCTAGTCTCAAACTGGCCTCAAGTGATCCTCCCACCTCGGGCTCCCAAAGTGCTAGGATTATAGGCATGAGCCATCACACCCAGCCTTTTTTTTTTCTTTTTCTTT